GATGATAAATTGTCTTGTATAATATGTAGATTTTCAATGTGGCTTGTTTTTGAGTTTAATTGATGTTGACTTATCGATAAGAAACCAGTTAAAGCAACGACACCGTTGACAGCCACACTTGGTCCACCAGTGGCAGTGAAGTCCTTAAAAACATTTGGACCAAAATTGTGATATATTACCATCCCCAAAAGACCACAAAAACACAAAAAGCCAAATATTCGTCGTATATTCATGCTGCATTCATTTGTTATTTGGTACAATCCACACTGGATATTATTCAATGTATAAAATGTCCCCAATTTCGATTTGATCCTGTTTCGAAAACCCTTCGGTCCATTAAGTAAATAGCTTGTAGTAATATCTCAAGTTCAAGTTAAGATTATAGCATATTCCAAGGGTTTTTGTAGCAAGTACACTTTACAGATACCAAATGTAAACATGGCAGAATACATTTACTGATTTAGTACTGCTGTATGACCGCTTGATTATACGTGTATTAACGTATTGTGTAAAAGCTTTCAATCTAGGCCTTTTGAAATGTAAATTTTCTATGAGTATATGCAAATTTACAAAACAAAATATTGACCACAACAGCCAAAAATTATAGCCAAACCGTTGTTAATTTCTGTGTTATATTTTCCAATGCAAATTGCGTATAAACAGTTTGTTACATTATGTACATAAACTGTTAGTTCGAAAAAAGACTTTTCAAAAACAATTTGCAGCAAAATTCATTATAATACAAAGCGTGTCAACGAAGTGTATAAATTATTCTTTATAATGGGCATCATTGCAAACCAGTATTGACATACAAAACAACGCTATGTTTAAGGTGTACTGAAATTCACTCATCACCACAAACTCTAACTAAACACAATGGAAGACAAATGAAATGTTAAACTGCATCGCTATGTCATGGTATTTATATATCTGTTTATAGAGAGGGAGAACTATTCAATTTGATTTAATTGTGATTGTAGTCGATGCATTTCGCCAAAGGGATTCACGTTTCCGTGCGCACATTTCCGTTTGGCCATCAAAGGCTCTTAAACTGTCCATCTTGAAGTCTAGTCATCTTCTGTTTCGGGCATATAGAGCCAATTTTGAACGAGGAGGGCCCTTCGCCTGAAGGTTAGAAGACGTAGGGCGAAGGGCATTTGCTCGAAACATCGAAGTTTCTTATTTTTAACGACACAAAGTGTATCCTGCATTGACAGCATAAAGGCCTGATTCCACGAGCCCTTTTTCTCGGCGAAATGCAAAATATATCGCCTGTTTCTTTTGAAATTGCGACCACTCGAATAAATTATTTCTACTTGATTGCTCACAATTCAAAAGAAACAGGCGAAATATTTCGCATTTCGCTGATAAAAAGCGCTCGTGGAATCAGGGCTTTATAATGCCTATAGGCTATAATCATTCGGTTCACTGGGGCGTATGCTCTAGTAATGCCCCTCACAAACAACGCCCCCTCTCTAATAAGCCCCCTCTCTATTAAGCTCCTCCTTTTCTAGAAGAAGAAATTTGTAAAGCTCCCTCTATTAATCCAATGCAACCCCGCTCAGCTATATACAGCTCATTTATATACTACAGTTATATATAGAGATAGCTTGATTTTATCACTCCAGCTATTTACATAGAGCTCACCGAACACTGGATATACTACTCCAGTCTCTCTGGCGGTCAGTGTCAAAAACGACGCTTTAGCCTGCGAGCGGGCGGAGGTGGGCGGCGTGATCAGAGCTTCTCACTTGAATAATGGCGAACGAAATTACAGATGAAAATAATCAGAATTTATCTGAGGAAGAAACGAAAGAAATAAACGGCAATGAAGATGGAGAGGAAGATGAATCCCAGTTTGATGATCCTGAAGGGTTTGTGGACACGATCAGCGATAAGGGTTAGTTTAAATAAAATATTATGGCTGGTTGACTGACTGCAATAAAGCCACGTGTAATGTAGATTTGTGCTAGAAAATGGTTGAAAGTTAGCTTAAAGTGCTGCTGATGTCGTTGTGTTTGAAATTAGTGGTGTTTTTATATCGAAACTTGTGTAATATGTGTGTTCTGGGTTGAAAAATAGTTGTAATAGCTGGCAGGTTAATTAATAGTTCATTGCAAAATTTTGATCAAGTTAAAACATGTGAGAGTATTCTTAATTTTGTAATTAATGTATTCAGTTGGTATTTATGGGGCTATATGTAAGTCGGCGTTGTTGCAGAGAGGTAGGATGGCTCGCATTTAGCGTATGGTCATTTTGTTGCTGGTAATCGATTGTTCCAGGGTGGTCGCCCCTAACTGGAAAGTTTGAAAATTGCACAGCCAAGGTTTCGAAAATTTAATTGTGAATATATAGAAAGCGTCAAAATTGTGCGCCCGATATCTCGGTTGTGCGATACAAACTTTCCACACTGGGGTGGTGCTAGCTCTGAATCTATGATTATGAAATGTTCCAGTAACTGAATTGTTTGCATCCAAGAATGACCAGTAGCAGAAAAATGGTGTGAAACCACCATTGTTTTTGTCTACAAGCTTTCGTTGGTAGGGATACAACTTCCTAAAAATATATAAGGACAAATTTCGACGTTTCGAGTGAAGGCCCCCCGTCTGGAGTTACTAGCGGGGGTCGGGAAAATTACATGAGCCTTTATACTAAGAATATAAAAGCGATCACATGACAAAAAAACCAATCAGATGGATTAAGTTGAAACAAAGTATAAACAAAAAATGTAAATCACATTGGGTCATTCCAGAAAAGATCCACACTCCCCCACGGAGGAAATTTCTGCCGTACGGAGGGAAGAAAAAATTGTTTCTGATAATAGTAAATGTATTAGGACATCCGAAGGGGGGCAGGGGGGTTAACTTCCAATTTCCTCCGTTGGGGTGGTATGGATGTTTTCTGGAATAACCCATTACAGAATATATTAATACAATTATACAGAAAACACAGTAAATACAGCAAAATATATGAAACATTTATGGTATAAGGTATCCTTGGATGAGTGTGGTAAACTTTAGCATGCTTTAAGTTTCATATTTTTCACTTCAGATTTGCTTGGCGATGTACTAGCAAAACGTCCTTCACCTGAAGATGGCATTGACTCGTTAATTGTTGTTGATAATGTTCCAGTCGTTGGGCAAGATAGGCTGGACAAGTTGAAGAACGTTATAAAAAAAGTATTTTCTAAGTTTGGAAAAATTGTGAATGAATTTTATCCCGAAGAGAATGGAAAAACAAAAGGGTTAGGATCTTTTATTGAAATAATTTTGATTGCTAGGTTTCACTAAGCAGCGGATGGTGGTCAAACTGCAATTATCAGAGCGAGAAAATAATGTTACAGTCAAACCGGATGTTCTCTTGCGAGCAACATTGCAGTATTGTCCCACGATATTGCAATTTTGATAGGCAAATTGCTCAGAGCAATCTGCCTATCAACATTGCAATATTGTGGGACAATATTGCAATGTTGCTCGCAAGAGAATATCCGGTTTGACTGTAATACTTCCCATGTTGACTTGTAGTAGTCTTGTATTTGGTGAGAGATAAGTAAACAGAGAGATGTTGTTTAATTTTTTTGTCAACATTTTGAAAGTTGATCACTATCTTCAAGCCTATAATGCTTACTGAAACGGTGAAACTCCCTTACTGCTTTGTGTTACTTTTGAGAAATCATTTGTGAAATTTTTTTCCAGATATATTTTTATTGAATATGCAAATGAAAAGGATGCAGCACAAGCTGTGAAAATAGCAAATGGTTACAAACTTGATAAACATCACATCTTTATTGTCAATCCATTTTCTTCATTTGATTGGTAAGCTATGTGTTCCTATTGGAGGAAGAACAGTTCCTTGAACAGTTTAGAAATGATAAGCTATTCAGTAGAAATATTTAGAGTTTAGTTTTAGGTTTCATTATGTGACATACTGTAATGTTTTTTCCAGTATGTTGGATCTTGAGGAAGACTGGAGCCCTCCTGAGAAGGAACCATATGAAGATAAAGTATGTTGAATTAACAAATAGTGAAAAAGAATTTAAAAAGTAAATGTATTGAACAATGATGAAACTATTCTCTGCCATTTCTGCTGCTGATTGTCAGTGACGACACAAGAGACAGTAAATCTGAGTCTTTCTTCTTGTTAACCCATTGAGTGCTAGCATTCTCCCTTTGACGAGTACAATTGTCTGGCATTAGAGTAAAATAATAAAGGTTCATCAGGGTGCATTGCCACTTAATGGGTTAAATAATAGAACTTTCAGAATATTTACATTTTTGGAACCCACTCAGTTTGAAATAATTTTTCACATTAGGGAAACTTGCATTCGTGGTTACTCGATGCGGACTGCAATGACCAGTACTCAGTCATTCATGGAGGAGGGGAAAAAGTTGACATATATTTGAATACATCGACTGAACCTGTTTTGCTGAAGGAAAGACCTGTAAGTATAGATGGATCTAGTGGAGGTCGGGCGTTTTTATAACTGAGGATGGAGATTAATCCAGCAGCATTTACACTATGTTTACACCCAGATGAATTCAGGGCTTACTGTTGCCATAGAGTATTTTAAACACATGACAATAGAAACTTCCATAAATTATTAACATGTTCATTCTATATGTTTTGACTACATATTTTTAAAAGCCAATTATTTAAGCAGCAAACTTATAAATATTGTAATTTTCATATGTGGCATTCCGCTGAAGTTTGCTTAAATATATAGTCGAAATGTAGAGTATACAGAGTATCTATTGCTTTGTGTTTGAATTCAGATGCAAATTTTGTTTGCTTGTCTATCTTGAAGGGATGGACAGAGACGTATGTCACATGGTCACCACAGGGTACATACCTTGCTACGTTTCATAAACAAGGTATTGCTCTCTGGGGTGGAGATGAGTTCAGTCGAATTGGGAAGTTTGGTCATCAAGGAGTGCAGATGATCGACTTCTCTCCTTGTGAAAGGTTTGAAAAGTTTAAACTATTTTAAAAGTTGCTTGAGGTTTTTTCTGTGCAACTAAAAGAAAGCTAAATTGGAGTTTATATTTTCAGATATATTGTGACATTCAGTCCATTGCCAGACACTCCTAGTGATCCACAGGTAAGACTACAAGATGTCAAGAAACCAAGGATACGAGAGGCTGATAAACTGACATGTTATTTTTTTCAGAGCATAATTATCTGGGATGTGAGAACAGGTGCCAAGAAGCGAGCATTTCAATGTGGAAATGTTGCGAGGTGGCCAGTTTTTAAGTAAGTCCAATTTGTAGTAAATTGATGTCTCAGTCTACCCAGATCAGGCTAACTAAACTATTCTGATTCATTCAGGTGGAGTCATAAGGGTGAATATTTTGCCAGAATACGAGACGAAGCTATAAGTATTTATGAAATACCAGTAAGTATCGGACCTTTTTAGGTGTAATTTTTTATTTATATGTGTGTTTTTTCTTATAAACTTTATTTACATTTCATGCAGTATGTTGTTCAACAATTTATGTGTCTTTCTAGTCTTTTGGTCTGCTTGATAAAAAGAGTATAAAAGTACCAAGCATAAGGTAACTTTATTGTGTTTAAAATAATAAAGTAGGGTTGCAATGCACCTCAATGGGTTGACTACCATCTGTAGCACGATTGCGAAGCGTAGCTATATAAAATGTTGTTTATTTTCAGTGACTTTGCGTGGTCTCCAGGAGATAATGTAATATCGTATTGGTTGCCAGAGATTAAAGATACGCCTGCTCGTGTCACAATAATGGCAGTCCCGGGTCGCGAAGAATTAAGAGTGAAAAATCTTTTCAATGTTGCCACGGTAAATAAGCGTTGAATTTAGTCCGCTTTCTCGTTGAATTTCCCTGTAAAGACTTGGTGAAAGTTTTTAGTATTGTTCAATAGCGAAACACAAAGGAAATACAATGTAAATTAAGTCAAATTTCGCGTTTATTTCAGTGATTTATTAAAGAACTTTCATACAAGTTACTGTGAAGTAAGTCATGAATTTTGACATATGACTTAATGTTCTTTTTCATAGTGTAAAATGTATTGGCAAAATAAAGGAGACTATCTGTGCGTTGTTGTTGATCGTTATACGAAAAGTAAAAAGGTAAAGAGAACAAAAACTTGATTAAACTTCAAACTGTTGGTTCTGGTAGATTCTCACTAGCCTAAACTTCAAACTGTTGGTTCTCAGTGTAGGTTATGGTCTTGAAATACACATCCTTTGTGGTAGATTCTCACCAGCTTGTCTGCGGATAAGTTCAATAAAATGTCTAACATGTTTGTCAGTTTTCAGTGATGATACTGTCATGCTGAGCCTACACTATGACTGTACAGCGGGTTTTCTGCTGCGCGGTCGTCCAGGCTCTTCAACCATGATGACTGATCAACGAGGCATTTGTCTGAGAAAACTGACAACGTGTTGGTACATAGCTTTGACAATAGTCAATTCCAGCTTTTAGTTTATGCCTGCAGGGGATGATGGGAAGTGAGGTATCATATTGCTAATTATGCTGAAAAATTTCAATAAAAACTGGCAAAACAACCGAAATATTTCAATATTTACAAGTATAAGCTATCACTCCGTGTTTTCACGGCCACCATTTTTATTTTTTCAGCATAATCAGCAATGTGATACCTTACTTCCCATCGTCCCCTGCACGCATAAACTAAAAGCTGGAATTGCCTATTGCGCAGATTTATGCTAGATATTTAATTTTTTGTTAATGGTTCGTCAGGCTCTTCACTACAACATGGAAATATTTCACTTGAGAGAGAAACAGATACCAGTCGATACTCTGGAACTCAAAGGTAAAATTAACATTTCTTCCCAGCTGTTGTATGATGGTGGTCAGTGAAACCAGTGAGCTCTATATATGTATATCTGGAGCACGAAGTTCAGTCATTCGGTCTATGAGAAAAATGAAGCCAAGATGGCGGCCATTGATGTCCAATAGCTCTGAAGTTCGTAAACAGTTTTTATACCATTTTCCTCAGCTAATTCCAGTTTTTTTCTAAGGAACCGTTTCACTAAACAAGTTACCAGTTTATAAAACCATAGTATTATTCTTTAAATCGAAGTAAAATAGGAAATTTTGGCACACTCCTTGCAGACAAACTGAGTTGAATTATTTGTGGCAGAAATGGAGTGAAACTGACGTCCAATAGTTCCATCTTTTGGCTTCACTTTTTGGACTCGCGTTCTCGTAGCTCCAGATATATATATATATATAGAGAGAGAGAGAGCTCACTGACTGTTACTCAGATAATCACTATAGACCCATTGCACATGATGTCACAGCGCCGGTGACGATGCATCTGGAGGAGAAATTAGCAATCTATGCATAATATAACATTTGTAAACAAAGCAAATTTTGTAAAACTTTATAATAATTTTGTATTAAAATGGTTAATTTTTGCGCTGTATGTGGTTGTTGTACCCGAACAGATATTGTTAGGGAGCATCTGGAGGACACTCATTTGTGACGTCAGTGCAATGGGTCTATAACCTCATTTTTATGAAGCACATATTCTTTTCTCCGCAGAGGCCGTCAGTGCGTTCGCATGGGAACCACAAGGAGACACATTTGCAATTATTCATGGCGAAAGTCCTAAGATCAGCGCAAGCTTCTACCGCTGTCAAAAAGGAGGACACACTACACTACTTAGTAAGTTCACATTTTCGTTTAATACAGAAAGCTCCAGGGATCAAAATCTAAACCTCATTATGGACTGTTATACGACGGTAGTGTTGAGTTTTGGAAATTTTCTTTCGTAGAAACGTTCGAGAAGAAACAAGTGAACAATATATTTTGGGCACCACGTGGTCAATTCTGCGTTCTCGCTGGTCTTCGTGGGTAAGTGTGGATATGACAGGGTAGAGGTGTACACTTTGAATTTTTGAAATTTTGTTGAATGTTGAATTGACGTGTGATTGTCCCGCAGCATGAATGGTACGATGGAGTTTTATGATTTGAACGAAGTGGCTCTGATGAACGTTGGAGAACATTTCACTGCCACTGACGTCGAGTGGGATCCCTCTGGCAGATATGTCTCTACGTCGGTCAGCTGGTGGGCACAGAAGGTAAGGTTACAAACACTGGACCTCATTTCCACACCTTTATATAGGGAGAACAGTTTAGTACTGATAGAGTTATCCAGTATAAAGTTAGTGTAGTTTAGGTTTCTTCCTATAGTAACACTGGATCAATAAGAGATGATCCTTACTGGACCTCTAGAAAGAACAGTTTAGAACTGATAGAATTGTCCAGTATAAATAAAGTTAGTTTAGGTTTCCTGCTGTAGAAACACTGGATCAATTCCCTTGTGTAGTAACACAGAGCTGTTCAGTTAGAGCTATTCAGTATAAATAAAATTCATTAAGTCCGCGAAAAGTTTATAAAGAAATTCTGATCGTTTTAGGTGGACAACGGTTACAATATTTGGTCATTCCAAGGAAAGTTACTTCAGAGGCATTCCATCAATCAGTTCTGTCAAATGTTGTGGAGACCCAGACCGCAGACCTTGCTTTCTGATGACCAAGTGACGGTATGTGTGTGACGTCATGTTGTGACGTCATGATTATGTGACGTCATGATTATGTGACGTCATGGTTATTTGACGTCATGGTTATGTGACGTCATTATCATGTGTTGTTATGGACATCTGACGTCACGGTTATGTGACACAACTTGTGTCATTGTTATGTGACGTCACTCGTATGACGTCATTTATATGACGTCATTGGTATTGTGACGTCATTGTCACTGATAATGGTCACTACCAAACCCTGTCATTGTCACTACCAAACCCTGTCATAAGGTTTTGGTAGTGTATAACTAGTTTAATAATGACTTATGTTGTTTTTCAAATTCAGAAAATCAAATCAGAAATTAAGAAATATCAAAAGATGTTTGAAAACAAGGACAGAATGAGTCAGAAGAAAGCGTCCAAGGTAAGCAAACGACCGTGCCAGTGTTCACTCTGTATTGTTCAGCAACTCATTTGGACAATTTCCTTTCCAGGAACTGATCGAGAAACGGCGTAGTATGATGCGAGAATTCCTGGAATATCGAGATCGAAAGAAACGCGAATTCCAGGAACAAGAAGATCAGAGACATGAATTACGTAAAGGTAGGAACCAGGCCTGCACACAGGCGCCAAAACGCCCGCTTTTGCAGGCTAGCTCGTTTCATATTTTTAACATACTGTGATTGAAAGATGATGGAGAATGGATCATTTGTCAAATTATTGAATTATGGGTAATTTAAAAAAAAATTATTTCAGGTTTTGAGGATCTCCAGGAAGAAGTTGATGATTTTGAAGAAGAAAGTGTTGAATTCTTTATCAAGGAAGAACAATCGATCGTCGAGTAATCCTCCCGTTGTCCGCCCCCCCCCCCCTGGCCAGGAAAATTGTGTGAAGCTCTGATCAACTTGCATATTCTCCTTGGTGTCAGGTAACAAAGGGAAGCAGTGAATTGTAGGAATTTTTGGATTAAACTATAATCGAGTGATTAATTTTGAATTTTGGAAATTACGTGATAGTTTTTCTTGATACCAAATCGATCGTCTTTTGACACTCAATTTAGAAATAGGCGTCATATATATATTGACATATATCTTAACATACTATATATCGCACGATGTGCGTTTCGACAGAACCCACGATCAATTTTGATCATTCCGTGAACATTATAAACATTATTTTAAATATTCTATCTACATACAGATTGTCAGAATTACGCTTAATTAGATTTTTGCTTTACCTAACCGTTTATTTATCTAGCTTGCTTTCGTTAGAGCGCGGTTAACGCATTCTACTATAAGCTGCCGTTGATTGTGGGTTGCGATAAGTCGCGTACTTACGTACACCGGAAGTGCAATGGGCAATTAAAGCTATAGACTAAATTTTTATCTAGGCAAGAAGAACAAAATCCATCACCACAGCTAGAAAGAGCATGTTAAAATTAGTAAAATTGCAAAGTTTGATTGGGAAATGTTGTAAAATGCGGAAAATATCCTACGAAATTTGCAAATTTTGTATTAATTTGTATTACGCACGGGAAAATGCACCACATTTGGGCCGAAAGTGAAGCTCTTGTCAAAAGCAATCGTTGCATTTTTATAATGCAACATGATGACGCGACAATCGTAATGAGATTTTAACCACAAAATGTAATATATAGATAAGCTGTGCAAAGCTTAGCATGACCCAAACGTTCACTAGCCGCATTTTGGTCAACAACGGTCTGCTCTGCTCGTGTGCGTTTTTAATGCAATGACATAATCGTATAATTGTTCAGCTGCGCTCAACGTATTTCGACTAGAAGGTCGAGTTGTTATAAACTGTTGTGGTTTGTGCCTTTACTAACTGAAAAAGATATCTGAAGCGAGGGGGTCCAGTGACAGTGTAGGTAGTCAATGCAGTCATTAAGCTGCCGTGGTTTGAATCTAAACTAAAACTACCTCGAAGTATACTTTATCGGGAGATAACAGACTTAAAGCGGCATGATTTGTGGGCTCACAATCACGAGCGCAGAATCGTGGACCTGCCCCAGGTCCTTTTGAATGCGTGCGCATACAATATTGACAGCGAACATAAATGATATATCACCTTTCATTTTATATAACCACAGACAAACTCAGCTGGCTAACGGCTCTCATATGAACTCCCCGCCGTTCTGAAAATTTTGCAAGCTGTGTCGTACTAAACGCTGTCTAAACATAGTTATACGCTATTTAAATTTGTACATAAAAATTACTCCAAGAATAAATTATATGTAACTAAAGGTGGATTTCTACTTCAAGAGAAATATTTCGCTTCACTCTTTTGAATTGTGACGATCCGAATAAATTAGTTCTACTTCACCGCTCACAATTTACGAGTTTTGCTTTTATGCGCATGCACTATATACTAATGTGTGTTTTTTGTTCATATCTGGCCAAGTATGATCTGTATCGAGGTGACTCCAAAAATTGTGAGTTTTGCGTTTAAATTTAGCTCGGAATCACACCACGCGTGTAGCAGATAAACTGACCGCCGATAAAACTAATATCTGTAATGACTTTTGTAGGGCTCTGTTGAAGAGATGGCGCGCGATAATCCCTGGAAATTAACAACGATAAGCGAGCTGTTTGGTTTGTGCGCGCTTCGTAATTATTCATAAGCTGCATGCAATTTTCCCCACACTTTGCATACGAGTCTGCACTTGGCTGTCATTTTATCGTTGTGTAAACTGTGGAAAAACTCATAGCAAGTTTGTTACATTTCATTTGAAACGTATCATTCCTTCTTGTTCAGCCGTATTGTGTTGCAAACGTGTGTCAAATCCTGCTGTTTTCTCAAACTCGATTTATTTCCTCGCTTATTAATATTGGATTACTGTAGAATGACAAATTGTGTGTAACAAAATCATGTAGTATTGTAGTGTGGCCGGCTTGAATGTTTGCCTAGTTGTACACGAGCAAGAACTTGGAAAAGGTTATCATGGATTGGGTAAGTTTCAGTTGTAACTTTGTATTTTTACTGTACTTGGGGAAGAAATCATTTAGCCATCCCTGCAAGTTGCGTTGGGGTCCTTGCTCTTATTGCTTTCTTAAATAATCTAATACATTTCATCTTCTAACGATCATATCGACTAATTAGGAACGTTTCAATCTAAGACCCCGTTTACACGATACCGGACGAATTTGGGACCGGGCTGAAATTCGGCATCATTTTTCGCCCTGTTTACACGCGAATTCGTCCTGTTATTGGGGGTCTCGAATTCGTCCGGTTCCGTGGTTCTCGTGTAAACGGAAGGCCGAAACGGACGAATTTTAGCCCGGTTCCAAATTCGTCCGGTGCCATGTAAACGAGGTCTAAGGTTCGCGAGTTGAAGACTCTGGACAGGATGAACTTGGAAGACAATTAAGCACATCATGTATCGTAAGCCCCGGTCAAATAAGGATGAGAGTTGGCAGTCCTACATTGTTACAGGGGACATTTCAAGCTCTAGATAAACAAAATAAAGCCGCCTAAAGGGAATTGATGAGCGTTTCAAGTTAAAATTACGTTTTAACTTAAAACGGAATGCATGATAGTGATAGGAAAGCATTAAGAACAGTTTACCAAAGTCACGTGACTTGCCAACATTCATGCGTTCTGATCTTTGTTTCATCTGGGCTCAACCGTATGAATCTCGTTGCTTGTATACAAAAATGAAACCGTTATATGAAACGAGCATAGTTCCAAATGTGAACGTCGAGTATGAAATTTGCATGGATGTTTTACATAATTGTTTGTGACATTTCTTATATGAGTATATGTGCTATAATTATGTGTTATATTGATCTGAAAAGCTCGTAAGGATTAGAAGTCGTTCACATTTTGGGCTTGACATTTATTTCTTTTAAACCTATGTTGAATTAAAAATGGACATATTTCATCTTTACATTTAAGGCGCTGTTCTGCAACCTGCGACTCAATTTATTTGCACGTAAAATTACAAAGTGTAGCATGTCGGCAAACGTCGAGTCTCGCACAATTAATTAGGTTTTTTTGCATGAAACGCTGCAGGTTAATAAAGTTCTATACTTTGTGCAACACACTTTGCAACCGGCTGTGTCTCACTTACATGCATGACATGTAACAATATGCTTCTAGAAATTTCTGACGAATTGAAAAAGTCCTCCCAAAAACTATAATATTCCCTTTGAGTTAATAAGTTTGGCTGTTTTCTATCCATACATTTGCATACATATAACCATAAATAAATAAAATTTGGCGTATTTATTGTATAAGTTTGTAAAAGCAACATTGAATGTCAAGTTTAACTTTGAACACGATGTGATGGATGATCCAGCTGTTTTTGGCTTAGCTTAATAAATTATAACATACAAGTTGCGTCTCTTTTTTTGCATAATTTTCCCCTTTCGCGTTTTTTAGTCTTTCAATATTGTATACATACATGCATGAACAAAAATTTCAAAAAGACTTGCAAGCTTTATTAAATAAATACCAGTACTTTCTATATATGCATATATAACCTGCAGACGGTTCAAGACTAAAATAGATTTGCTGCATGTAAAATTAAACAGGGGGCGGGAATATTTTAATGAATATTGCTTGGCACTAGCTGCGAGCTGCCAAAAGTGTCTACAACAGAATTTTCTTTTCAAAACAGTTTAAGAATAATATTAATTAATATACTTGTTTTTTTTAATCATATTTCAACTTCTGTTGTGTATGTGTTCATGTAGTTCTATCGTTCGATGTTTTTCATTTTTTGTACACATTTTCGACAAAAGACATCCATTATACGATATTGAATGTTAATGAATATAATCACCATTGAAAAAAACGGGTAGCAATTGCTTTCCCTCTATAGGAGGTCTTACAATACCGCTTTCGCCGGCTTCTGCAAGATACTCCTTTGCCACGTTATGGTTTTTCTTTCAAAAAACACAACAAAATTTTATTTCTATAGTCTATTGTGGTAAAATTTAATAATCACGTCTCGAAATTTGTCTCATCCGCCCGCACATTGGTTTTATTCAGTTGTAAATGATTTCAATTAAACTGTCCGCATAGCGGGGCACCCATCTTTGCTGAATAAAAATGTGTGATGTCTACCGAAAAGCTATGAATAGTAATTTTAAAAGCTAAATATGTGTACATGCACATTTTGTCATGAACCTTAATCAAGCTTTGTTCCTTTGTAGGAGGAGGTTGTGTGACAAGGCTTTTGGAGTAAGTTGTTCTAGGTATGTATGCCATACTAGTATAACGATTGACAGTGTTTCCTATAACAACATTCACGAGTTTGGCGAAACGTCTAACGACCTTAAAAATATAAGACTGAAAACGCGCGTCGACGTGTGGAGCGGTACGTCACTCAATTCGGACTCTACACTGACTACAAGGCACTATTTTATTTATTTGTAATTAAAAAGTTTTATATCCTGTTGTTCAATTTAAGTCAAAGTTTAAAAACTTCTTGAAAATTGAATTGTATATACATTAAACATTCTTTTGTCGCATTGAAAACACTCGAAAAAATAAACTATTCATTTAGTTTTCTGAAAAGGTAAACTTATATTGATGCCAATGCTGTAAAACGTCTGTACACCAGAGCGCATTGCAGCTTAATAGGTTAAAAATAAAAGTTTATATACGACTTTTATTTGTGTTAAAATTAGTTCGTTTTTTGTATTGTCTCAATGGATTTATCTATCAAAAGTCAAGAGCATAAGAGCCACATATTTTTTAATATCATTCGATGTTTATCTTGTCTATATTAATTTCCAGAACTCTCCCTTGTATGTTAGAGAATTTGTTTTGACTAATGTAAAAATGGAAGCTTGATAATTGAATCTAAAAGGACGTGACTAATCATAGAATGATCATTTTTATCTTCTGAAATGTGCTTGAAATATTTCAATCTACGTGCATTTTTTGTTGTGTAAGCTGTTTTGTCTGTAGCCATAGGCGTACCGGGCGGGGGGGGGGGCGGTAGCCCCCCCAGTTTTTTGGGCAGTCGGGCAATATTCGATCAACAGTCGGGCAATTTTGGTTTGCAATAAAAAAAAATGGGACAAATTTTGTCAATTTTGTCTAAAATTAAGTCAATTTTTTGGCAAATTTTGTGATTTTTCGAAAATTTGTGTTATGTTCCGAAAAATATTGGTTGTCCGGAAAAATTTTTTGACCCCTAAAATGGTTTGACCGCCAAAATAATTTTTCCGGAAAATAATTTTTTGGTACCAGTCGGGCAGAATCCCGAAAAGTCGGGCAATTTTCTTTCCGCCCCCCTAATTTTTTCCTTCCGGTACGCCCATGGTTTGTCTTTGTTTTTTGTCACTTTGTGGGCTTTGGATCTTCATTCCTGCGCTTTATCAGCTTGTACAAACAAGACAAATAAGTTATAACGGTTCTTTTTCTCATTGCAGTGTACACAGTTTAAGCGTAAAAGGGAAATTAGTGTATAAGGTAAGCCAAAATGTATAGAAAGATTATTGAATGTTTTTATATTTCATAAGTGCATGAGCATTTATTTTAAACTACGAGAGGGTGATAAACAACAACAACAGCGGTAACAAATACAACAACAGCAACAGTAGCAACTGCAGTAGCATCGACATGCAACAACAATAACAACGTCGACAACAGTAACAAATACAAGAACAGTAGTAGCATCAACATGCAACAACAATAACGACGACAACAGTAATAAATACAACAACAATAGTGGCATCAACATGCAACAACAATAACAACGTCGACAACAGTAACAAATACAAGAACAGTAGTAGCATCAACATGCAACAACAACAACAACAACGACAACGACAACAACGACAACAACAGTAATATATACAACAACAACAGTGGCATCAACATGCAACAACAGCGGTAACAAATGCAACAACAGCAGCAGCAACTACAGTAGCATCAACATGCAATGACAACATCCCCATCAAATGCATCATCATCACCATCTGATCATCAATTAAGGATTTTATATATGTTTTTCATGTAATATATCATAAACGAGAAGCCGTTTATTACCTGATTTGAAAACACCGAGAAGTGTGTTGGAAAACGAGGCGATAGCTGAGTTTTTTAACCAACTTCGAGGTGCTTTCAAATCAGGTAATAAACGGCTTCTCGTTTATGATGTATTACTTCTCAAACGAATCAGTATTTTAAGAGAAATTTGAGGCGAAAGTTGGCTTAATTTATGGACGTTTATTACCAGTTTTCCAAACAAGGGGCAATTATTTTTAATAAACTACCTAGTGAGTTGAAGACAGAACAATCACTTTTAAGATTTAAGTCTGGTTGCAAAGAGTTTAACTTTGACTTTTAAAACTGTACATAAATTATCTTTCACATTTTATATATTTTATACTATATTTAGGTAACTACCATAGCTTAGTGTAGTAATAATATTAGTCTAGTGGACAGACATTGACAGGTCCTTGGTTGATACCAGCAATATATGTTGCTGAAACAAGTTTTAACCTGTATAAATATGATATTATTATTATTATTATTAAACAACGTTTCGATTATGATTTTCTTTGTGTTTTCCTCGTGAACTATTAATGAGTTTGAGAAATATATTTCAAACTTCAATATTTAACTAGTGCCCAGTACTTCTGTGACGCGCCATCCTTTAAAAGCAAAGATCTATAACGATCGCACTAAGTTGACACATCCGGACATCTTTTATTTTAAAAGCTTCTACTTTGAACAGATGTTATCCCAACTTCCGTATAAATAACACTTAAATTGAGCCAAACACATATTAAAAACTGTTCAAACAGATGCCAAGATTAATAAGTTGTTGACTTAAAATTTATCTTATATATGATTTATTCAAAGTTAAATGTCTACGTTGAGCGGAATACGTATATTAAAAAGGCAAACAGACAAGATTTATCGGTCCCAGATTGAAATTTGATATAACAACACGAGCCAAAGACGAGTGGTTGTGTATCTTAGACAGTAATCCTGTATATAGCTTGTTGTATGTCGTATTCTTCAGTAATCTCAAGGAAATGAATGATATTTGGTGAGAAAAATGAACTTAAAGTTGACGTTAAAACAGCAGGATTTTGTATCAGATATACAAGATCCTTCGAGGGACAGGATTAGCAATCTATCCGTCCAAAAATGTTGGACCAGGCATGCCCCAAAAAAAAACAAAAACTCTTCTATCTTTTATCTTCGAAAACGTGATTTCGCATCAGTGAGAAGAAACCTGCGGCATGCATTGTACTGAAAATTGAACGCAGCTAACAGCATGATTGAAGCTTCACGAACATAATCATAACAATGCGTGCACAAAATATTTCGCAAATACATACAGGGATTTGGAACTTGTTTCCTTGTGGTTGTGTGTGTTCGGATGTGCAGTGACTGTTGAATGTGATGCTATAGCGAAATTTAAGCTTGTATATACGGTTGTATTAATTACTAAAGACAAAATACTGGAGTTTTAACATTCTTTTGCCCGTCCACTTTCAAAAATACACGTCCAATAATAATAATATTTAATATTTCTATTGCGCGATTTTACATGTGTATATGATCAAGTGCGCATCACAATTACAGCCGGAACTGGCGTGAAGCAGACCGAGGTAGACTGTGAGCTTACAAATGGCGCTTTAAGCAGCCGCTATTAGTCCAGACCTCATTAATGATCTGCCCCCCTAACCTATGTGCCCTAACCCACCCTGTCAACTTTCCCTGTGGGAGAAAACCAGAGTACCCGGAGAAAACCCACGACTTTCGGCAGAGCGTTGACTGACTCTTTTCACATGAGGACTGGGTTCGAGTCACATTGAGAAATTCTCATTGGGATTTGAACCTGCGACCTTAGAGGCGAAAGGCAAGTGCGCTAACCACTTCGCCACCGAAGCCGAGTGGAAGGGCATCTGGCTTCTTTCATGGTCATGATTTCTTCTGTAACTTTCTCATGAATTATTAATGAATGACAATTATAAGTCCCAGACATATAAAATTGATTTTATTGATGATTTATTCAAGGCCCATAATCTCTCCAGGAAATCTGATTCGGCAAAATTATATTTGAATAAATTTCTCGTCAAATGCAGCTGGACAGCCCAGAGCGTTTGACAGGCAAAATGGCTTCTATCTTAAAACAATCATTATGACAATTATAAGTCCCAGACATATAAAATTGATTTTATTGATGATTTATTCAAGGCCCATAATCTCTCCAGGAAATCTGATTCGGCAAAATTATATTTGAATAAATTTCTCGTCAAATGCAGCTGGACAGCCCAGAGCGTTTGACAGGCAAAATGGCTTCTATCTTAAAACACTGCATCATTTTTGTTTTGTTTCCAAAATGCCGCGTCAAGGTTTGTTGTATTTTCTCATATGTATGTAAATTAAATCGTATGGGATTAAAAAAGGGTTTAGCATTATTTTTTAATTAAATTGTAATGGGTATAATACTGATAGAATAGTAAATCCCTTCTTGTATGTAACTGCAAGAAAATATACACTGCACAATTTCTGTTGCTCTTTGGCAAGAAAATATGGTGAGTTGCGCCCTGAAAATAGATATCGATTTCGGCTGTAGCAAAAATAATATCATCCTAAAAGCATTGTGCTTTTATCAAGGACAGGTTATGCGAGTGTATATATATAGTTTAAATATCTGATCGAGGTATGAAATCCATTTGATATGCAAACTATACAGGCATGTTGTGCAACTATAATTTAAATTGTTTATTGAGTATTTTCTATCCTGTATCCAAAGAAAATGGACTATGCATTCATGCAACTTATCTTATATCAATAAAATTGTCGTAAGTACTTACGGACCGTAAAATGTCTGAAATTTTGTTACTTTATTAAAAAATACATAATATATATTTTCTATATGATCCTACTTGGGGGATATTGTGTAGAGATTTCTGGTTAAGATGCAAATCTATAAATCATTGAAGATTTTTTCGTTTTTCGTTGTATAATATCGAAAACGCCCATTCGAATCAATTCTTCAAAGTTTGCTTGTAATACATGTGTTTTTCAATATATATTCCCTAATTATTGTACAAAATATACATAAACGAGATAATGGGAGGACTTATCTTCTTGTCTGTCTTGATTTAAATATTATTTTTGCTACTTTGAGTTAAAATTAAGTGGGGCAGATGTGCGTGAAATGAAATGTAAAAAATGAGATGAACCTTTCGTCGTTGTAGACAAATTAAACTTATTTCCTATAATATTTCCTCATAATTCCTCCGGTAAATAGGTTAAATATAGCTAACACAACAGGCCAACTAGGTTTCCTGATAAGTTTTATGTTTTATTGTTCTGTTTTTAGCAAAAACACCACATTTATATTAATTTAGCAAAGGTATCGTTCCGTCGGATCAGTACTATATAATAATAATAATCGAAGAGCTGTCTATGCTACACAATAATCGATACACAGACGTTTGTGTCAAAGCCGAGTGCCATTTACTGCTCCCAAATGTCTTCTTTGCCGTTCAATTATTGTAATTAAAGTGGAGATAAGTTTTGATAAATGCAATTCTGTTGTTGTCCAATAATTAATATGTTTGCTTGGCAATTTAGCGCGAGTCAGCTGCGTATTGTTGGGGATTGTTCAGCTGAGTTTTCCAATCTATCCCCTTGAATCCTCCTTCATTGTTTCTTCTTTTCATGTCAAATCGATGTAATTATGGAGTGTACGACACGTTTAAGACGGGACAGATTCGGAATGGTAAAGACTAAGTCTAAAGTATAAGCTGTGCTCGAATTCGTGAATGCGAAAGGCAAAATTGTGTAAATATTGAAGGCGAAACCTTAGGACTATATTATATGTACATACTGATAAAAATCCAGGCTTTTACGGATCGAAGGCTTGAATAAACGCTGTGCTTTTTCCGTGCAAAACAATTGAAAGCAACGATATGTATATATTATAAATGATTGTCAAAGAGAAAATTTTTTTATATCTCTTCACGATAGCTTCACGCGGAGTTGAATAAATTACGATATCTCAAGATTAATGACTGAAAATATGTTTTAACTCATTTCGTTCCAGGGTATATGTTTAAATATATGATCAGAAATCGCTAGGATGTCAATGTGTTTTGCTCAATTTATCGTATCGATGTTTCTGGATACAAGTAACGCCTTTAAAATGCATTCATAACCTTGATATTTTGTCTGTCATCCCACTGATAACGCGTGAATCTTGTTTTTGCAAACAAATAATTTATTTCTGTTTCCTTGTTTTTGGGAAATAAGTTGATAAGACAAGTTAATATTAACCATATAAGTTTGGCAAAGATTGCTGTACATTTTCTGAAGGTATTTTGGAAGAATATTCCCTAAATTTGTGATTATGTCTTTGTAAAAATACGACGCGAATCATGAGTTGTGTTTTCTCTTTTGTCAATTGTGCTGCAGGTGGGATCTACAGAAACTCACGCCGTGACATGACAAAGTATTTAACTGTATGGGCCAACGAGAAGTCAAATTCTTATCTTGTCTGCCAATATTTTCTCCCTGTAGGTCTTGGGCATAAATAGATCTCGACAAGTTTAATCATTTACAAGAACATTCCGCGTCCCGAAAAGATAGAACTGGAAAATAGAAAACTTTTGAAGAATAGGACGTGATTCAGTCAAGGTAATTTAAATATATAATACAGAATTATTTTTTGAGAGAATGTTTATATTTATAAGGATGTATATTTGTTGATTGGAGGAGAGTCTGTTTCATCCTTTTAGGCGGTTCTTTTCATGAGTTTGTTTTGAATACAGCAGTGGTAGTCGGACAGCAATAGTCCGTCTGGACGACCTAGGACAAAGGATATAGTTCATCTGACCATTCTGTTGTGTTTAAACGTTAAAAAAATGGATAAAGTGTCTGTTTGTCTGCGTCAGAACCCTAATCAATTGGGGGAAAAATTGTTGTAAAATTTTTTTCATGTTTTAGGCAAACAATCTGATTTGTAAATTCTCCTTTCTTTAACAGAAAATCACCAGTTGAAACCCCCACCCCCCTCTTCTACGATGATGCTCAACACAACTGGTAACACAACACTTATGGGATCCAGTCCTCTCCCTAGCACATTGTTCCGAGTGATGTTTTGGTGTAGTCTTGGAGTAGTCGAAGCATTTTCGTTGCTAGGCAACGCTATTATCATCTACATCATCACCACACACAAGAACTTGCATACCAGTACGAACTGGTTTCTGCTCTCTCTGGCAATCTCTGATCTTGGCGTACCATTATTTATCATTCCATCACATCTACTCTGCACAGAGACAGAATTATCATGCAATATTGGAGTTACAAATGCGTTGTATAACTTTATCTTATTCGCGTCGGTTCTGAACCTCTGTGCGTGTACAACTGAACGATATATCGCCATTTTACATCCATTCAAGTATATTCACCTTGTCAATCAAAAACGGGTTGTCGCTGTTCTCATTAAAGTGTGGTCGCTACCACTACCCATGTCGATCCTACCAGTGATACTAATTCCGAATCCTAAACCTGGCGAATCGGTACTGGTGAACCGTATTTACTGGTTAACCCAAGTTGCGTTATTCATGATAATCCCCAGTGCTGTGATGTTAGCTGCTTTCTGGCGTATACACAGAGTAGCCACTTGGCATGCCAATCAGATCCGAAGGCTCAGTTTAGTCCCTGAAGAAGACGCGCATGGCGGGCGCCAGAAATTGGTCTCTGAAGCCAAATCGACTTTAAAAGTCTATGGAGTTGTTGTTTTAGTGTTCACACTTGGATGGTTACTGTCCGCATACAGAATGATTAAAAAGAACTTCCTGCTTCATCATGTTCCAATCGAAGTGGATTATATATCAAGATTTTTGTTGGTGTCCAACGCGTCTATAAATCCCTACATTTACGGCTTGCAGAAATCGGATATTAAAAAAGAGTTTTTGACAGTTTTGAGAAAGAGGCACACGCCTCAGCCACCTTCTAGTGCAAGTAATGTTAACAGTGGTCATGACGTTTTACGCAACGACACAGACACTGTATGATTAACACAGGGTTATTGGAAGCGTTGTTGCGGTAACATTGTTTCCTAGCCTTCAAAGATGGACAAAACAGGAAACATTGTTTCCTAGCCATGTTTTTCAAAGGATGTTTTTCAAAGATGGACAAAACAGGAAACAGTGTTTCTTAGTCATGTTAAGTAATGTTAACAGTGGTCATGACGTTTTACGCAACGACACAGACACTGTATGATTAACACAGGGTTATTGGAAGCGTTGTTGCGGTAACATTGTTTCCTAGTCGCTTCAAAGATGGACAAAACAGGAAACATTGTTTCCTAGCCATGTTTTTCAAAGGATGTTTGGACAAAACAGGAAACATTGTTTCCTAGCCATGTTTGTTCCTAGCCTTCAAAGATGGACAAAACAGGAAACATTGTTTCCTAGCCATGTTTTTCAAAGGTGGACAAAACAGGAAACAGTGTTTCTTAGTCATGTTTTTCAAAGGTGGACAAACCAGGAAACATTGTTTCCTAGCCATGTTTTTCAAAGGTGGACAAACCAGGAAACATTGTTTCCTAGTCATGTTTTTCAAAGGTGGACAAATCAGGAAACATTGTTTCCTAGCCATGTTTTTCAAAGGTGGACAAATTCACTGTTTTCTAATTCTGTTCCCTAAAGGGAGGGAAACCAAGACATCACACTTGTAGACGCAATATATGTCTGAATTAATATATGTCTGAATTTTTAGCAACCCAGGGTGGGCAAATCAGTGAGGCAAATGGGGAAACATTGTTAGCAAATAGTAATTGGAACAAGTTATAATTATTTTGAAATATATTGTTAGGCGTTATAGACCATTAATATGAAATGAATATTATTTAATATCAGGAAACTGCGGGCTTATATCATTTGATTATTTTTGATTTGTAGAATTCAAACAATGAACATTGAACACAAAATCTGTTCAATCTGATGTGAAACTTCAACGTTTGTGGCGAGCCTTTGAAGATTTTAATTAGCTCAGCCATATAAGATTAAAACCTGTCAAATGGTCTTGATAAACTTTGAAGTTTTCACGTGAGAAATTTTCCATGCTTAGATGCAAACGACGGGCCGACGGCAGAATTATCATGGTCCAGTTGTAGGAACGAGCTCAGTTTCGCTAATTGGGGGGCTGGGAACTAGTCAAAGATTGTCAAAGATGGACGTCAAAAAATGCCGAGAATTTTGAAATATTTTTGTTTTTGTTTAATTAAAACATTTTTCTTTGCTTGAGAATTTAACTCATGAACTCTCACGAACATTGTGGTAACTGTATTTTGAAACAATGTACAAGCACAAATGGCTGTTCAATGGTTATTTGCGAGCTTGGCTGTGGCATGAAACTTCACGAGTGTAAGCTTATAGACCATCGCTCAATCTGTCAGAGTCAAAAAGTACCGTGTGTCAATTCATATTATGGCTGTTCAATGGTGCTGATACGTTCACAGCTTGGTCCCCACATCCAAAACTGCCCTGCAAGTGTGATTCAATGTACAAAAGAATGGGGAAGAACCCCACTTTACTCTCAGGAGCGTCTAAGATGGGTACCATTTGAGCAACCCAACCCTGCACTGGTCAAGGGTTATTTGGACGTCGAACTTGCTTTACACGATCAGAAAGTTATTAACGAGATAGTCCAAGGACGGTACAAGCAGGGCGTCGCCAGGAAGTGGTCCGAAAGACATGATCCGAACGTCAAATTATCGTACGAACGTGCTAAGTGTTTTCAAGAAGAAATAAAGAGTGCTGTTATTAATATAGCAGATAATTTTCCAATGGTTGCAAAACCCTCATCAGTAGAAAATTTTAAATTTAAAAAATTGGAAGAAAATGATGCTGAATTGTTTGGAGGAATGGAAATTGATTGTCTTGACAATGATACTATCCCAGAATGCCCTCTGCTTCCAGACACTCGATCGGGACTAGGACTGAATCTAAATATAGAAATGACACCAAAATTTGGACGTCATAGTTACTTATATAAAGTTCCTTGCCGTCAGGTTTTACAGAGACGCGAATTTCCGTCACATTTTAGCAACGTTCACGCTGAAATTCACAGCGGACTTGGATGGATAGAGCAAAGATGCCCATTGGCACAATACGGTTGCTCATTTGTGCATTACCCACTTCTACCATCGACTCAAGAAGGTAGCGTTGTGTTTAGTCAAGATTTAGGAACCTTTGGTGTTAAACCTGTCAAGATGGCAGAAAATATATCTCAACCATGTTCCCTCTTGTTTCTCCCGTCCGAACTAGTGGAAGAGATTTGCAAATGGTTAGATGGATTTAGTCTGAATAATTTAAGGCAGACATGCCGGACGTTGCATCATATTTTGTTACATCTGGTAAATAAACAAGGTATCGTCACTGCTCGATGGAGGAAACGTGTTTACGAAGATGGGTCAGCTTCATGGACGATAGACAAAAAGGTTTGTTTATTGAATCATTCTATTACCATTGCTTGTGTCTAAGGACAAATTGAGAACATATGGTCACAGATAAAAACATTGTCAATACACTTTTCCAGAAAGTTCATCACTAACGTCTCGTCTCGGTCACAAAAATGAGGCTACAGCCATGATGACCTACTTCCCAGAAACATGTATTCTTATGTGAAACTTTTATGTTTGTCATTATTGTCAATAGTATTTAGCAGTTTAAACTGGTCATTCAAACACATTTAAGCTTGTGTTGAACAAATCTTTAAATTAAGCCTGCATGGTTCCCACTAGCAGTTCTGTCAGCGATGTTTACTTCTGAAAAGCAACTCTTTACTTTTGTGTGCAAGCTCACTCATTTGCATCCGTCAGGAACACAAAAATGCCGACAAAATGGCTAGTGTGAACCAGGCTTAAATTCCTTGTTACGAACATTGAAGTTTTACATGTAAACTTTTCATCCTTTTGATGAAAACAACTGCAAATGTTGTTTTAGGTAAAACAACCTGTCTTCTATCTTGTCCACTATCTTGATATCTTGTCCTCTCTGCCTAGGTGTGGTCGTTTACAAAAGCTTTCTCAGAAGTGCGGCAGTGGGTGTATTCAGACGCTCCAGGTCTTCTCGCACATTTTGAGAAATGTCCGTTTTACGAAAAGTATGTGCATGAGAAAGCCTTTAGATATGCCAAAGTTTTTGGACAACTGCCATTGTCGATGTAACAGGTCTGCGGTGATCAAAGTTTCAGCATTTTTCCTGAAAAGGATTGTCACTATCAAAATTGTCTAGTGTTAGTTCAGCTAGTGTTGAAGGGTTAACAGTGATCCTATTTGCCAATGTGTCTCCCTACTTTATTATGCTACTTTGTTCAACAGCAAATGAATGAGATGATTTTACTTGTCAGGGAGAGAGTGTGCTGATGCTCAAGGGGTTAAGGGCCAGTTTGTATGTTCCCGGTGGAACAGGATGTTTCTATCCCACCTAGCTATGGGATCTTCAGCAACAGTCTTGTCTTGCTGAACCATAATTGTATGCTGCAAACAGGCCATAAATGCCCAGGTTAGCACTATTTTCCATCCAGCAAACTGACCTGACGTCATTTTCGGAAGATAGAAGAGGTGTTAAATGGCTATGTAACTAACCCAAACCCGACCCCTACTCCAACCCCTAACCGCAACCCTAACTCTAACCCAATTAATAAAAAAAATTAAAAAACGACTTTAGAGAATCGATAGGGCGGTTTGCTGGATGGAAAAAAGTGCTAACCGAACGCCATTTCCACTCAAGAAAATTTCCAATGAAAGCAAACAATTTCCTAAAACAGATCATTGTTAAAAGTTGAAAAATTTCAACTTCAAAATTTTGTTCCGACGGAAATTTTTACGAACATTTTACATTTTAAATTCACATTTTACAATAATTTTCGTTTTGCAGAAAATTTTCTTGAGTGTTAGCCAGAAGATTAAAAATTTCGGCAATTTAATGAATTGGGAATTTCAGTTAGCTAGCCTTCGACATTCAGACCGGAGTGCATACCGCGAGTGAGTAAAATATTGTTTTTAACTCGAGAAGATGAAAGTCGTATCTTTAAGCCACCGTGCAATGTTCTGTCTATTATATAGTCCCAAGCAAAAAGTTGTGAAATTTCATGCTCAAGATATGGATAATATCTCGCTGTGTATTTTTCAGTTTAAGTGACGTTCTCGTGGCCTTAGCGCCAGCTGAGCTAAATTGAAACTCTTGAAATACAAGTCACCTGACATTGTTTTGTGTACCGAAAACAGACAAATATATATTTTAGTCTACATGACTAATTCCTCGCAACATTTATCTGGTACCCAATTTTTCTTAATTAGCCATTCCGAAGTTGATGAGAGGACTGGGGACGAGTGTTAAAAAGTGCCCAAATTAAGAAATGAACCAAATAACTAAAAAGACCACCTCAAAATTAGTAAGTATACAAAGTTTCAAGACGTTTACATGAATACCCTTCGAATAATAAGCTTTCGAAAATCGTGAAATTACTGATTAAAAGATTGTTTTGGGGACGCGCGTCCCCAAAACAAAAATTACAATACATTTCATAGTGAATACCACACTTTTCGAAAGCTTATTATTCTATGGATATTCATGTAAACGTCTTCAAACTTTGTATACTTACTAATGTTGAGGTGGTCTTTTTAGTGATTTGTCACATTTCTTAATTTGGGCACTTTTTAACACTCGTCCCCAGTCCACTCATCAACTTCGGAATGGCTAATTAAGCAAAGTTTTGAAGTTGAATAATCTTTTCTATATGTAATAGTTACGTTTTTAGCTGATCTAAATTGTGAAATTGCTGGTTAAACGTAATTGCGACACCCTGCTGGTATCAATGTTGTTGTAAATGGTACTAATGCGTGTAGTTACTAAGGTGCTCTGGAAATCAATATAATTCACTCAAGGATGTATTAATATAATATAGCATGCTAGAAACTAAAAACAAACTTGTCAAAGTAAAGAAAATGTTAGCGAAATTTAATAATAATTTATCCAATTTATTTCTGTTGATCTTTTTGCAACATATTTTTGCTAATTAGAATAAGACATACGAGACAAGACAACAATAGAATTCAACAGCCCGTATCAAATATCGTCTTTGTGTCAGGGAATATTCAACATATTTGTTGGAATAAGATCTTAAACGATTACCTAATCTCTAAATTGAAACAAGCTAGAGCACATCTCTGCTTCTGTGTACAAAGTTTGGTTCATTTTGTTTGCGAGAAATAATTTGTAGTGTATTTTACCAATGTGTTGAGCGATTCGTTTACAAATATGTACATAACATGATGCCTGTTTGCTCGACGCCGCTTTCTCATTAAGCTTGCTTCTACCTTACTCGTTCGTACACGGAAGAGAACAAGACCATTATTGTGTGATGACTGAGGACAACCGAAAGGCTCTTTTAGCGTTTCGAAATGAACCAAAGGCAAAGAATAACGTGTGTGCTGACTGCGAGACCGAAGGTAAGTACTACAATAACATGCCAATATTTTATGCCAATATTTCGAGTTTGTTCCAACGTATTCCGGTCGAAACTAACAATCTATTTTCCCAACGCTTCCGGGTCTAGAACCAGAGTGGGCATCAACTAATCTGGGGATATTTATATGTATAAAATGCAGCGGGTATCATAGATGTCTTGGTACTTCATATTCTGTCGTTAAAAGCTTGATACTTGACTCATGGACAGACGACAAATTGAAGGCAAGTGGCTTTGTAGTTGTAGCTGACTTTGTACTTTGCTACTTCGCTGATCGCATGACCAATAAAATATACTTGATTCACATTATTGGCGAGTTGTATTAGGCGCTATGGTGCAGTAGATGGTGGTCAATCTTCAGCCTATCACAGTGAGAAACTAATGTTAACTCCCCCCACTAATAAGTGTTGTGGTAATCTTGTATTTGGTTTTGCACTTTTGTTCGCATTAAAAGTCGACATTCCTGAAATTGACCACCATCTGTTGCTCATTAAACGTAAACCATACCTTAGATGGTTTGTTAAATGTTTTCTTCTTAAGTAATATGTGTGAACACTGAAAGTGCACAACAAATGAAACGCCTACATGTTTAGGAACACCTCGAACACAGCAGCGTATATAATACTTTAATATTGCTTTGTTTGAGCCTCACCTTAATATGAGAAAAAAGCGACGTGCTGTGATTTTGATGATTAATAATTTGTAAAATGTTACTTTGTAATAAAAATTCCATTGCTAACATCAATTACGAAAAAAATATGAGGAAATAATTTAAGTGTGAGTTCCTGGTTGCACGAAAAATGTAGCCCGAAATTCAAACTTGTGCAGATGTGGTGAGTGGCCGATTGAAATTCAGACTTTATGAAATGGTGATGTTATAAGTGAATGGTACTTGTGTGACAGACACAGGATAAATAATACTGTGACCCATTTAGGGCTTTTAGTTCCCACAACAATTACGGACAGTGGAATGTAAATTGCCATTTTGTTGCTTGACTTCCTGTAAAGGTTAGAAACACCTAGACCTTTCAAGTGCCGAGGCTTTTCTTAGGAGCTTTACGTGCTGATCAGTGTGAAATACGTATATTTATATTGTATTATTATTGAGATACTATTTAGTTCTTGGTGTAGAACCTTTGCTTAACCAAACCTCAAAAGTGTTTTTAATCTTGTTCCGTTCATACCCCCACACGGTAGCGTATTATAGAAGCTACCTACACTGTGGGCGTCCATGTGTCCACCTAGCAACACAAATATGTGATTTCCTTGATTGATTGATGTTTGTATTGCAGAGCATGAAAGACAAAGGAAATGAACTGTCCAATAAAATTTGGGAGAAACAAGTTCCTGTATGCTACAAACGACCTGACAAAGACTCTCCACAGTAAGTGAACCATGTCTAGTTGATTGCCAGCTTTCCACAACAGAAATATATTTCTTACCTTCATAATCCTTTGCAACTGTTATGATTATCTAAGAATTGGTATAGGATTAAAGCCTAGATTAGGGATTAGCGTGGATTAACATTACAAGATTAGTCTTTGGATTAGTTTTGTTTAGGAGCTAGATATTAGGATTGAGTTTAGGGGTCGGATGTGCGTTAGGTTTATAATTTTATTGCCTAAACCAAGACAAAAATAGACCTTTCCCCTTTTGAGTGAAATTTTGATCTAGACAAGTCTGGACAAAAATTTCATCACAGCTTGAAAGAGCATCACAAAATTAGTAATATTCCGAAGTTTCGTTGCGAATTGTTGTAAAATGCGGATAATATAGCCTTGCGAAGTTTGCCGTTTTTCAGTCATTTTGCATTACAAACGGGAAATTGATAATTAGATGATCAAACTGATCAATTTTGTGGTGCTCTTTCAAGCTGTGATGAAATTTTTGTCCAGACTTGTCTAGATCAAAATTTCACTCAAAAGGGGAAAGATCTATTGCCAAAATCCCATCTTTATTTCATTAACCTGCATGAACCTGAAACCTGCAATACACAACAATACACCCTTGTGTATGTGAATTAAAGCCTAACGTCGCGATCACGAAAGCGAGGCTCTATAGCCAAAGTGACATACTTTCCAGAAGCGTGTATTTAGACCATCCAATTCTTTCCTTTAGTGTTCTCAGAGAGCAATGGATCAGATCGAAATACGAAAGAATGGAATTTATAGAGGGAGCACCAGCGCCTTCCTATTGTTCTGGTACGTTTTGTTGCCAGAGGATTCTTTTTTCATCCGAGCTTGTGTGTATGGGTGTGTTTGTCTGTTTACATGTGTGTTTGAAACACACACAGAGCGTGTCTGTTGACACAATAACTTTAAAAATATCAAACGTATTAATACAAAACTTTGTGGCACAAACGGACATTTCCCAAGGACAAACTGATTAAACTTTTGTTAAATTTGGATGATAAATTAGGCCAAAAAAAAATATGTGGGTTTCCGGTTTCCCGATCCTACCTACCTTTTGGACGTCGAAATCCCGACCCTAAACTTTTTTATTGGATCATGCTTGTAAGTGTTTCCACTTAGAGGAAAAACTTTGTGGAAAATTGAAATTTGAAGCAGTATTAGGGAAATTTATCTTTGGATGTGGAAGCACTGACTAAACAAAATGCGGGCGTCCGGTTGTTCGGAAAATTAAAAAAAAAGTTTTAAAAAAGTTAAAACCGACCTACCCTACGTAAGTTTTTATAAGAAGAAACCGGAAACCCACATATTTTTTTTTTGGCCTTAACAAAAGTGTGTCTTGCTTTGCCAGACAGAGTAAATTTTACTGAACGTGTAATGGGAAATTCCAGCTATACTATAGACTAAATTTTGATCTAGGCAAGAAGAACAAAATCCATCACCACCGAGCTAGAAAGAGCATGTTAAAATGAGTGAAATTGCAAAGTTTGGTTGCGAAATGTTGTAAATGAGGAAAATATAACCCTGTGAAGTTCGCAAATTTTGTATATATAGCTAATATATTGTATTACGCGCGGTAAAGAATAACCACTTTCGGCTCAAAAATGGTTATTTTTCACGCGCGTAATACAAATCTATACAAAATTTGCGAACTTCGCAGGGCTATATTTTCCTCATTTTACAACATTTCGCAACCAAACTTTGCAATTTCACTCATTTTAATATGCTCTTTCTAGCTGTGGTGATGGATTTTGTTCTTCTTGCCTAGATCAAAATTTAGTCTATAGCTGGAATTGCCTATTAGCTCATTGCATAATTTCTGCATGTTTCATGGTGGTATGCCGATTGCCTTCTAGTTTAACTATGGTTAATGCTTGTTCCATTTCTCTCGGTCACTGAAGTTCGAAATTGTTTATTATTATTATTATTCAACCTTTATACCGGTTGAACTTGTTATATTTATATACTGGGATCATTCAAGGACGTGTTAAATGTTACTTGATTATAATTTTTCTTTTCAGGCACAAAGGAAGGAATGGTCTGGAAAAGGGAGAAAGATTCAAATAATTGGAATCAAAGAAGATGTGTTCTCTCCGCCAATTGTTTTGAATACTACATAAAGCCAACGGTAAATATGTCTGCGTCTAGGATCTTCCCGACAAAGCAAGATGAATGATATATCGATGAGAATGTTTTGTCAGTTATGTTTTGTTGTATTGTTTATAATCCTGTATGTGTATAATGTATATATAGGGTAGGACTTAATTTTCGACTAAAGCAGTCCTGTTCGGCTCTGGTACGTATACGGCAATCATATAATTGACTATTTGCGTAATAGACTAAATTTTGATCTAAACAAGTCTAGACAAAAATTCATCACAGCTTGAAAGAGCATCACAAAATTAGTAATATTCCAAAGTTTCGTTGCGAAATGTTGTAAAATGCGGATAATATAGCCTTGCGAAGTTTGCAATTTTCAGTCATTTTAGATTACAAACGGGAAATTGACAGCCTCAAAGGGTATTGGGCTGTCAATGGGAGTTTGTAATCTAAAATGACTGAAAATTGCAAACTTCGCAAGGCTATATTATCCGCATTTTACAACATTTCGCAACGAAACTTTGGAATATTACTAATTTTGTGATGCTCTTTCAAGCTGTGATGAAATTTTTGTCTAGATCAAAATTTAGTCTATACGCAAGACAAGTGGTCAATTGATTGTAAAGCTGATGAGTTTCTTGATTCTCATTTATATCTTGTAAAGTCTGTATAAATGCGTTTTCAGTCGATGGGATTTCGATCTAACCAGGAGCAGTTGCGAGAAATCGAACTTTTGGCCCTCTGGCGGGAATCGAACCTACGGTCCTACGATTCCGGTGCAGCGCCCTAACCACTGAGCTAAGTTGTCGTATAAAATTCCGTCGACTAAAAACCATAGATCTCTTATATACACTAGTTAGATAGTGCATCTAATTATTCTGCAATTCAAAATTTGAAGCCGCGATTGCAGTCTCAGGTCGTTCCCATGAATTGAGAAGGTTCGTATGTTTTCTATTTCTTAAACAGGGAACTTAAACATTAAGTTAACCCTATTCCAAATACGTTTTTAAACTATTCAGATGATGAAAGTTATTGCTGTTTTTAAGCGTTTATTAGCAAGTGGGAACGACCAACATGGCCGCCATCTATTCAAATGGGGGTAACCGCTGGAATATGCTTGGCTTCAATTTTGCTAAATGAGATGCACTATCTAGTGTATATAAGATATCTATGCTAAAAACCCATCTACATTCAAGTTATATCGAACGAAGTGCCCAAAATCTTGATTTCTATCTTGTGTTTTAGGATTCAGAGCCCAAAGATCGCTGGCTGCTAAATAAAATCAATGCAATATTTGCGGATGAAAAAACTGAGCGACACAACTGCCTGCAAATTATGAATACTATCGATGGAAAGACACGGAATTTGTTCATCTCTACCGACACTGGAAAAGTATGTTGTAGTTCATGGTTGCTGCTTCTTAGCCTTCCTAGATAAGTAGCTTCCTAGATAAGTAGCTTCCTGGATAAGTAGCGCCTTTTTTCGAAATTTTTCTAGGAAATCGTTGAATGGTACATGGCAATCCGCTACGCCAAACTTAAATGGACGAAGAAGAACAACCCAGAGGCAGATGAGAAGGAGGTCTTGTACATTATTTTGCTCCGAAAATTTTGACAGATGTAAAACTATAGAGGGCACTCTGCACACCTATCGTGCCGACAAACGCACACACACACATACAAATCTAGGTCATGACCTCCCGGCGGAAGTAACAATCAAGTTACAAAAGCAATTAGGCCAAATAAAAAAAATATGTGGGTTTCCGGTTTCCCGACCCTACCTAGCTTTTGGACGTCGAAATCCCGACACTAAACTTATTTATTGGATCACGCTTGTAAGTGTTTCCACTTAGAGCAAAACGTTTGTGGAAAATGAAAATTTGAGGCAATATTAGGGAAATTTATGTTTGGATGTGGAAGCACTGACTAAACAAAATGGCGTTCGGTTGTTATCAGTGGTTGTTATCTGTTATCAATGGTTGTTATATTAGGAAAATTAAAAAAAAGTTTAAAAACAAAAGTTAAAACCGACCTACCCTACCTAAGTTTTTACAAGAGGAAACCGGAAACCCACATATTTTTTTTTGGCCTTACTGAATAATATTTGTATTCTTGTGTTCAGTTGGTGAAACAAACAACGAGGGACTTTATTCACGAAGGAAAAATCTGGAAGCGCGGGCCTCGGGTAAGATACTATGGCCATGTTTCACATCCTAATAAACGACTCTTGAATTTACCGAAATGATTCAATTGAGAATTTTTATAGGAGAGCAAGGCGTGGAAAGAACGTTGGTTGACTTTGGACGGCAGAAGAGTCATGTACGCCAAGGAACCAACGGTATGGTTGTTTCATCGAACCTGCATTCAAGATGGTGACAGCTATTCTTGCTACCAGGATTGTCGTTAATAGGGCTCAGACTGCCTCCTCCGCTCTCGTTGCGTCATGGGAAGGTTATACACAATCTGGCAAGGGCCTGCGGAATTGTGTAAAAAAATGGCGCCGGTGTCACGTCAGCAAATAAATTAATACATAATCTTGAATATAAACTGGATATAAATAAGCGGCGTAGTGAGCCTCCCGAAATCGTGACCTTCCCATGACGCAACGAGGGCCTGCGAAGGTGGCAAGGGCTCAGGGGTCACTGGAGTGTGCACATGTTAATTGTCAGTTGATTTTAGGTATCTCACTCGATGAGCTGTAGCCTGCGAACAGGCTCTCAAGCTGAATTGAGAGCCTGCATCGATGACTAATGAATTTGAATATCTGCCCCGTAACGTTCGTTTTTCCAAATATGGAATGTATATCCTTATATGGTGTTGTTGACAACTTTCGTGCAAACTAAATTTAGACCGTGCAAACTAAATTTAGACCGTGCAAACTAAATTTAGACCGTACAGTTTATACTGTTTTTCGAAATATAAGATATTCAAGCAAAAGTTCAAATGTTTTAAATACTGTTTTCTCAAAACAGAACATTTCGGTGCTTTGAGATAAGATGGTCAAGACCAATTTGATCAGTTAATGTGTTTTTTATGCATAGTGCTTCAGCAGTTGACATATATAGAGCTCAGCGGAAACATATAAATTATAGCATCTGACCAATGAGAATTTCGCGTCACGATTTGAGACGCAGATATTCAAATTCATTAGTCATCGATGCAGGCTCTCAATTCAGCTTGAGAGCCTGTTCGCAGGCTAGATGAGCTGTTGTAGGATTTTGTAGATGGAATTTTCGAGTATATTTATACATGAACTTGTGGTTAGAGCTCGACAATTGGACTGTGTAGCTCAGGTGGTTAGAGCATTTAACACTGCACCGGAATCGCAGGGCCGCTGGTTCGATTCCTGCCAGGGACATACAGTTGCATTTTTCGCAACCGCTCCTGGTTAGGTCTAAATGCAGGGCTCAAAATAACGGGAGATAGGTCTCCCGTCAAAATCTGTTTTTGACCGGTCATTGATACGCTTACACTAACAGTGAAACAAACTATTAGAAACTTGTTTTGATACATCATAGTTTCACGTTTTAATTCAATTCGTCGGCAATCACATTAGAAGGGATGAAAATGTGGCCGATTAAAATGACCGGTGAGGTAAAAAAGTGACCGATCAAGAGGCACTTTTGGCCGGTCATTGTCCGTTGACCGGCCGTTATTTTGAGCCCTGAAATGTATAAAATTTACACTAAAACTTTCCATTTACAATCCCTTCAGCATTAACCCATTCAGACCCTCAGAATTAACGGTTGAATTGTGTACACAAGAGTTCCGTGTTGATGTGGACTGCTTGAGCGTCCCTAAGTTGTCTTTACTTTCTCTGTTCAAGGATGCGTACGCCAAAGGAGAAATAGTCCTGGGTACGAAGGCTGAGGGTTATGACGTCACGGCTGGTTGTACCGAGCGACAACCACCTAACGGTTATGGCTTCGAGATCACCACTCCACTTCGGAAATATGAGCTCAGTGCCGCATCCGAGGAGGAACGGGACGAGTGGATAAAAGTTTTAAATGACGTCATTTCTGTGTCATTGAGTGCGGTCGATAGGGATGGTAAGTCACTGATCTATATATATATTATCTATTTATGCTACATTCCTAAGAGTATTAATAAGATTCTCAGTGCGCTGAAATAATTTTTTCTCTGTTAAAATACCAGCCGTTCCGCACGTTGTAACCATGCAATAATCTATTGTAGTTGTAAAGCCATTGTATGCAATAAAGTATTGGGTTGTAATCGGTTTACAATTCAATAACCCTAATCCAAACCCTAATCTAAACTTGATGACCTTCTTATAATAAAGTTTCTAATCTAATCTATAGCTATCACATTGAATGAAGAAATTGCCAAAAGAAAAGATCAATCACGATCTCTACCAAGAAAATTATCTATCAAAGCTGGTTTCAACTAAAAACATTCAAAGTATAAAGTTATATATTGCATGCATGCCATTTGTAGTTACAGTTCATGAATTGACCTCGAAAAATGTGTAGATATAGCTATACTTTTATCCTAACTTTTCGACATTTTTGAATGGTCAATAAACATTCCGTCACGATCCAGTGATCGAAATGTTCCATTGTCTTTTCATTGTTTTGAAAATCTCACTGTTCTCCATGTCATCCAGTCATGATCCAGTGATCAGAATGTTCCATTGTCTTTTCATTATTTTGAAAATCCCACTGTTCTCCATGCCATCCAGACAGATATAGCTATACTTTTATCCTAACTTTTCGACATTTTTGAATGGTCAATAAACATTCCGTCATTGATCCAGTGATCGAAATGTTCCATTGTCTTTTCATTGTTTTGAAAATCTCACTGTTCTCCATGTCATCCAGTCATGATCCAGTGATCAGAATGTTCCATTGTCTTTTCATTATTTTGAAAATCCATGCCATCCAGTGAAGTTATGCAAAGGGTGTATATGCAGTTAACAATTTTGCCAACATAAAACGAGTTCAATTATTTATTGCATTTTACAAATTTGCAATAATCACACAACGTTTAAAAATTGTCAAAAATTTAAGTTTAAAACTTTTATATAAATTCTACACACTATTTCATGGATTTAATTCGAAATGTTAGGTTCAAATGTGAGCCATTGTCGTAATATTCACACTACACGGGCTTTAGAAATTTAAAGATCTCCTAGATCTCCATATTATTTAATTTCAGAGTGCGATAATTCAATATTGTTTGGCTGTACAACATTGGTTGTTGAACACCGATCAATCATTGCCATGCACTTGAGTACAAATCATTATATAATAACTACAGTGAAACACGCAATTTGATTGGTCAACAGCCGTGCAGGATCATGCTATCCTGAACGAGGAATTAGAATGCCTTCGCGCCGCAGTGCTGGAAAATGTCCGGCAGCGCCAGCAGCACCGCTGCCAGGAAATATTTGACAAAATATCTTCCCAGGAAATTTTCTTACACCTTGCAGGAAATTCCTGTCATCTTATAAATTGAAATGCCATATAATAGCATTTTGCAAGACGAGTTTGTCTTGTGCTGAGATCAAAGTTTATCGCATGTGCGACACCATCCGTTCTATTACGATGCAGCAAGTCTTATAATTGACTTACATAGGAAATTTTTATTTTTGGATTTTGCTGCCAGGAAGACAAATATATTTTCTAGGCCTGCTTCGCGGGATTCTCAAATTGCCATTGTTTCACTGTAGTTATTTTATAAAACAATTACCAAATGGTTTTCCAAGCAGGATAGCATGATCCATGCACTTGCATGGGATGTTGTTCGACTTTCGGAAAGCGTAAAAATACACTCGCCTGCGGCTCGAGTATTTTTACGCTTTCCGAAAGTCTCGCGACATCCCTCGTGCATGGATCACGCAATCCTGCACGGAAAACCATTCGGTATTCCTTTAATACTGAAGTGCACACATTATCGCTTCCATACATAGTAATTTAAAATTCCCGATTGCCACGCTAATCCTCATAACCTCTTTGCGATCGGGCGAAATTTAAGAAAATTTGTTCTAGCGTTGTTTGGGTAACCGCGTAGTTTCCGATAATTCCGCGGCTGTGCGCATCCTCTAGAGTCGCAAATAGTACCGACCATGAATTATTAGTGCCAGCCAGATGATAGTTCAACAAGCCATTGTGTTCGTCGCGTAGTACGCTGCTAGGGAAGGTGTTTGCAACAAATTCTTTGAGCGAGGCCGTGTCGTAGCCTTGAGTGCCGTCGGGCACGTTTACTAACAGGGTGAAACCTTGCACAAACTTGTTTTTCAGGTGTTGCGGGCTGCCCAGGCAACGGAATTTTCCATTCACCATGATTGCAAGTCTCGTACATAACGCTTCGCATTCCTCCATGCTGTGTGAGGTTATGACCAAACAACGACCTGTTGAAAAAAGTATGATTACCGGCTATTTTTATCCCTTTCAAAGTAAATCAGCCAACAGAAATAATTGAGAAGAACGGTTTTGAACTAGAGCTAACCATCAATAAAGTTAAGTTTAGGTTTCCTTCCGTGGTAACACGTCACTAACACTAGATCAATAAGAGAAGATCCTTACTGGACCTCTAGGGAGAACAGTTTAGAACAGATAAAGCTATCCAGTATAAATAAAGTTAGTTTAGTTTAGGTTTCCTTCTGTAGTAACACTGGATCAATAAGAGATAATTCTTACTGGACCTCTATGGAGAAGAGTTTATAATCGTCACTAACACTAGATCAATAAGAGAAGATCCTTACTGGACCTCTAGGGAGAACAGTTTAGAAGAGATAAAGCTATCCAGTATAAATAAAGTTAGTTTAGTTTAGGTTTCCTTCTGTAGTAACACTGGATCAATAAGAGATAATTCTTACGATCCTTACTGGACCTCTAGGGAGAACAGTTTAGAACTGATAAAGCTATCCAGTTTAAATAAAGTTAGTTTAGTTTAGGTTTCCTTCTGTAGTAACATAGCTGGATCAATAAGAGATGATTCTTACTGGGCCTCTATGGAGAAGAGTTTATAATTGATAGAGCTATCCAGTTTAAATAAAGTTAGTTTAGTTTAGGTTTCCTTCTGTAGTAACATAGCTGGATCAATAAGAGATGATTCTTACTGGACCTCTATGGAGAAGAGTTTAGAATTGATAGAGCTATCCAGTATAAATAAAGTTAGTTTAGTTTAGGTTTCCTTCTGTGGTAACACTGGATCAATAAGAGATCAACCTTACTGGACCTCTATAGAGAGAGTAGTTGTAAATAAAGTTGGTACCTTCAGCTCTGACGCGACATAAAGTGTTCCACAACAATCTTCTGGCCACAGGATCCATGCCTGTTGTAGGTTCGTCAAGAAAGACCACCAACGGGTCACCAACTAGCGCAATGGCTGCGCTCAATTTGCGCTTGTTTCCACCACTAAAGAATGAAACAGCATTGTTTTAGTATGGTTGGCGATTAGGAATAGATGTATACAAAATATTTTAATTCGTGCAAAGGAAACAGGTTTCCTTCAACTCGTTGAATGGAACACCATTGGAACACCATTGCACGAATGAAGTTATTATTTGTTTTATACAAAATAAAATAGAGTTATTTACCTGTATGTTTTAGTCAGTTTGTCAGCATGTTCTGTGAGCAACACAGATCGCATTAATTCTTCAATCAATACATCAATTTCTTCACTGGGGACACCACGTAATGCGGCATACATTCGTAGCATTTCACGTCCCGTCATTAAGTCGATCAGGGCATCGAACTGTGGGCAATAGCCTGTCCGCTGTCGCACCTAAATGAAACAAAAACATGTAGCGAATTATGGCAAGATTTCTACAAGATGGTAGAACCTGGGGTAACAAGAGATAGCTTGCACTTGTTGCATTATTTGCCTCGCATTGTAAACAACCTTATCTCAAACATGTAACTATAATTCTGATTGGCTCAAAATTTTCCCGCCAAAACGTTTTGATTATTCAAATGATTTTCAAAATGCAAGGCGACCATGTTGTTTTAAAGTTCAAATATTCGGAAAGGAAACTTGAAGGTTAAAACCTTAAATTTGAAGAAATAACAAGTGTAAAGCTGCTAGAAAGTCCTCATGGATGCTTCTACAATTAACCACGAAACAGTAAGAGTGTTTTTTATGTGAAAATAATACAAAATAGTCGATAAATAGCGAAATAGTTTGTCGACGGTGTTGACTGTTGTGACAATACTCAACTCTTCTGCATTTATTTGTAATTTGGTCGCAAGCAAAGCAAAATTTGGGGATTTGAATTCAAGTTTGGTCACGATAGCTTTTTGTTTGTCTTTGACAGTTCAGCGATATAGAGTAGCCCGTTCAGCGAGTTTCTTAACTTGGTAGATGAGTCTAAAATTCTGAACAGTCAAAGTAACAATTTTGTACTAAAATTGTGTTTGGTAGGTTTCAACAAGCGTTTATATATACAAGGCATGGTGGTCAGCTTCTGAAATATTGGCATACGAGAAAAAATTTCTTATTTCTCTTTGTCTGATAGAGCTGCAGGTCAACCACCATCTACTGTATGATAATCCCACAGAATACCATACAGAAAGGTCTCTATTCTGTGTGTTGGTAATTTAGTATGTCGTACCAAATTCAGATCCGTCTGAATGTCGAAAGAGTCGACCGAAGCCGTTCCGGACGTGGGTATTTCGTCTCCGGTCAACATTTTGAATGTCGTAGTTTTCCCCGCGCCATTTACGCCCAGCAAACCAAAACATTCACCCAGTGGAACTCCCAGGCTAAGATGGTCCACCGCCGCAAACTTAGGACGACCTATGGAGGAAAAAATGAGTTAGTTAGGTCTTACAATAGTCCAAATCTTAAGCCTCGGTTCCATTCATAGCAGGGATGGATCCAGTATGATCTGTTAGGCGGGGGGGGGGGGGGGTG